AGACTAAAATATACTGTTTTACATACTTTGTTAATGTGTGATGTCATTTCACATTTGTTATTAAAAATAACACCCAAGTTCCTTACTTCTGTTGTTGGTTTTATAAAAGAATCCCCAACTCTAATACTATCAAGTGCAGTATTGTCTTTGGAAAAACTTAGAGTTGAAATGGACTAATTCAGTTTTTTCATCATTAAAAACTAAGTAGTTGGACTTGAGCCAAGATCTAAGTTCATTCACACAAGCCTCAATAGTTGCTTTTTCATCACAAGGATTTTCACATATAACATATATTTGGGAATCATCTGCATACAACATCAAATTGAAACCCAACTGGTGGACTCCTTGGTATTCCCTTTAAAATAATCATGTTTTACATCCCTCCTTCCTATTTTATGATCTGATTGTTCTGTGCCATATGGTAAGTGCCAAAAAAACATAAACCATGATAAAGGGGGGGGTAGCAGTCCATAATACAGCACCATCTTGCTGACCAAGGATCCACCTAGTGGTCAACAAATGGACTAGTAATTGCACTGAGGATAGCTTTAGAACAACATCAAAGTCATACATTTTTGGCAAGTTCATTTTCTACATTACATCAAATTACTTTTGGACAATTTTGGATGATAAGATACTTTCACTGTAAAAACATCAATCACACATCCAGATGAAGCTATTCTTGAATCTGCTTATTTACTTACAGCAATGGCAGCATTTGACTGCCTCTGTTGCCACTGGGCATATATAGTCTCCAGCCTGACCTTCTTTTCTGATTCCCTTCTTGTGATCTCCCTGACCTCCCGTAGCTGGTACCCATGTCTCATCACAGGATCCCTAAAACTGCCAAACGGAGACCTGTGTAGAGGATGAGGGGGAAATGTGTCACGGAACAGTTCATCCACTGCTGGCAGGGCTGGATGAACCTCAGGGCGAAGATGCATGGAGACAGATTGAGAGCGCTGCCGCTGCAAGTCTGGCTTGGAAGGAGGGTTCTGATGTTTGAATAGAAGGTCCACATCTGCTGACTGGATGTATGGATTGGCATCCTAGTCAAGAGTAAAATGTTTGACAATATAGAGGATTTATTCTAAATATCTTTCTCCTTTATTTCTAAATATCTTGACTATATGCAGTATGTTCTTTTTGTACTTTTAAACATCCCAAAAATACCTTTAGAATAGAAAAAATGCAGAGTTTTAATTGCCACAATACAAATTGAATTTGATAATATTAATTGAAATAAGTATTTGTGAAAAAAGTTGAACATGTGATGTGTTATCAAATATGACTTTACCTTTCCCCTGACTGCAGCTAATTCTGTAAATGGGTAATGTTGGAACAAGCCAGCCTTCTGGCTGAGAATACTGGATAACAGGTGTGTCCTAGCATTGTGCCACTGAATTAGTCGTGTAAACTGTCGGTCAAGGGTACTGACCACATCTGCTGCCGAGTTGTATGTGTATAGCTCCATCTGGAATAATGTGTTATAGTAAGCTGATAAAAGCCTTCAAGATATACATATACCAATAAATAGAAATGTTTGACTTAAGGGATAAACCTTTCACTATCAGCAACAGTTTAAACCACCTGAGATGACTCATCTTTTCTAGTCTTTTTATTACTGTATAGCTTTTTCTTCTATTATTGAATTTGTCACAAGTAATTTACATTACATAATCATGCTTACTGATATATCTTTCACACTCAATATGAGAAACCTCTGCCTGGGTACAAAAACCTTTTCCTCTACACCAGATGGTGCTGCAGCAGTGGCGAGTCCACTGCTATTTCCCAGATCACTGGTTTTTTCTGGAGCTGCCTCACTATCCAGGGAACAGAACTTCTGATAGTTCTTCTTCACTAGAGAATTTAAATAAGCTTTGTGTGCATATAAAGACTAATAATGCAACATACCAAAATTTACAGACTTGACAGGTTATTTTGATCAATTCTGTGATTTTTTTTGCATCCATTTATATTTGCACTAATGACATCTTTCATTGTAAAATGTCAGTTTTCAGATATGATAATCACAAATGTAATTTTCATGATTAATTCTTTCAGTTAAAAGTAGCTACCTTTCCCACTGAGAGTTGCAGACTGCTGGTCATTTGAGTCTTCTTCCTCATATCGCTCAATACAATGTTTCCATTGGTCAAAATTTCTACCAATCACAATGTAATGATTTGGTTTACCTGGGGTTCCCACACAGGCAAATTGAGCCATATCAAGTGAGGACTCTTTTGAACTCTCTGTACTCTAGAAAAGAAAAAAAATCAATTCAATGAATGGCACAAAACATAAAAAATCACAGACATAATACCCAACAAGCTGCTTTAGAATTGCATTTACTTAAAGGACAAGTTAATACTCAATGTCTCATAAAATGGGTATTTTGTTTTTAAGAATGAACAACATTCTGACGAATTCATACTTACCTAACTAATACCTAAATACATAAACAGCCACATTATAAATTTATACAATGATACTTTCACCTCTTAAAGCTTATGAAAAAAAAATTTGAGAAGATGGTTAACACTGAATAATTCACAACTGACAAAATAAATTTTCAATCAATCTACAGCGTCTTTTAAATTAACTACAAATTTAATGTAAATCTGGGAATATAGCACTAACAGGAAGATGGACCCTTCATGAAAGCGTAGATATAAGGTATATTTTGAACTTTAAGTCTGCACTATATAAACAATGCTTAACCTAAAAATGTCAAGTTTTGCACTCAGCTGTGAGATATTTTCCAATCTGACGCTGAACTGAAGAAAAAATATGGAGGCTGAAAATCTCAATTTTTGTACACAGCTGCAAGATCATAAATAGAATTTTTATACCAGATTTCAAAACAAACTGTTGAGTAGATTCAGAAATAAAATGCTTAAACTCGATTCAAACCCTAGCAATATGATCACATACCATCTTCAAGATCTTGATGAAACCAAAGGTGTGTTGTTACATCATCCAATTGTTCTGATTATAGGAGAATCCAAATTAGATGGACAAAATCATGTATAGTTGTATTTTCTAACAATGAATTGTCAGTGGCAAAAAGTATGCTGTTAAATGCTGAATTACATGTTTATTGGAGATGCTTCAACTTACTTGACAATGCCAGCAGTTTACACTATGTGTACTGAAAATAACAGCCAAAAGAATGCATACTTTGGTTTTTAGTCCAGATCATGGAAGCCGCTTTCATGAAGAGTGAGATTGTGGAATATATGTTGCTTTAACTTAACTGTCCTTCAATACCAAACTTGTTGGGGATTTTATTGGTTAATGGTTTAGTATTTACATTGTAGATAGATCTGAGGATTAATACCTCAAAAATATTTTAGAAGAAATTATTGGGGATCAGCAACAACATAAAAGGCAACAAATAAGGGTACTTTCTTGGAAAACTTTAATATAACAGTATTTGTAGCAGCTGTGCAGCCAAGTTAAATGTGTTATTGTACACAAAAGCATACCTTAATCCTCAAGTCAAATTCTCTCCTTTTCAGCTCTTATTATTTTATTCTATTTAACTTGACAAAAAAATCAGCTTTACATTGCAGGAAAAATCTTCAAACACGGACAAGTTTATGTTAAAGCCTGGTATGGTAAATGCATTAAATTTCTCCATGTTAATGAATTCATTCAACTGTGTGAGTCATAGGCAAAATTATGAGAGAATTCAGCCAGACAGTTTAATGGCTGCATAGGTGAGGCGATCAGGTTGGGGTTGACTTAGGCAAGACTTAAAAGGGACTGAAAATTTCTTATCCTCCAACTGTTCCTGATGAAATCAGGTTTCTGCATCAGGTCATCTTCAGAAGTGATTACTAAGTCAGAACTGGAATACTATACTATTTCCCTAAATATGTATTCTTCACAGTGATACATGCAATGACCTTGAATTCATCAGTTCAGAGTTGGATACACCTGTTGTTTAACTGTTGTGTTTTTGAATATGATTCACCTCATTTATTCTAGGCCAAGCTGAAAGCATGATGTTCCTCAACCTCCCTCTCCTGACAGTTCTCAACTTGTATTGAGCCCTGTTTACTGCTTTCTAGTCAGTAAAAAAAAAATCCCTGCAGAACTTAACCTTTCAGGAAAAGGCTAGGCAAAAGAACGTCCAAATAAAAACATAAGTCTCAGAATGTGAAGTTGCAAAGAAAAGTAAACTACTGGTAGAAAAGCAAGAGATAAGTATTCCATAATTTCAAAAGTAGAACAATAAAAAGCACTTTGAACCCACTCCAAGCAACCTGTCATTGTTATCTACTCCTATATTTAAGATGTGAGAGATAGACCAAAGTGGTTAACTGTCCTTGTCCCCTCCTTGAATACAGTGGCAATACCAACCACACACGATAAACCCCTCTCTAGTGCAGTTCCCATATATCCACTTACCATAGAAGTTACTCTGGAGGGGTTATATGGATGATACCCCATATCCTCCTCTGTCTGAAGTTTTGATATGTGTTTGAACACTCGCACTGTGATATCTGGTGACAGGCTGGACACCATGGCCTGAAACTCCTTCAGCACAAATTCCACAGACACACGCAACAAAAGGACACCAGAAAACTTCTGAATGGAGGGAACTCCTAGAAAATTTTGTGAACAATACAAATTGTACTATAAATGACCTAAAATTAAAATATACATGTACCAATATGAGACTCTATCTTATTGCTCATATAAAAAGATTTGGCAAGGTTTCCTGGACATGAAGACTAAAACATGGATCACATTTACAATCTTCCTGATAACCCTTTCTCTGTAGCTATAGACCTCTGCAGAAAAACCAGCTTCGATTACCTTTACTGGTGATTCACTTACCATAAACATGACATGAGTCCACATTGAACATTGTTAGTGTCATTTCCACAGACATAAACACTGCTGCTTAATGCAAATCTACCATTAATAGACAAGGCAGAAAACTATTTTGCAAGTTAATATCAGATTTTTACCACATCTTACCAAGTTTAGCAGCAAACTCCAGCCAGGACAGCATTGTGGTGGGATACAGAGGCAACAGGATCCCTCTCTCACCAATCTCATACTTCCAGATCTTTTGCTTCAGTTCTAGCTCATGTTTGTGTTGTGCATCTGTTTCCAGCTTCTCCTGGCTGTTTGTCTGCTGGTCTAGTTTGCCAGCATCACCACTCTGTAATAGTTTCAGAAAAAGCACCCCTGCTCATCAAAAACATAAACGTAAAATAATGATTCTTTATGATCATCATCATTTGGCTAGAAAAATAATTCCCAACCCCAAATACTTGTTCCACAACCATTGAATTACTTTCCATGCATATTTAAATTTTGTAAAATAACTTTCAATATAAACTACAAAATGACTTATTTAGATGTCTAATTAAAAAAATCTTATCTCTAGATCTAATTCAAAATTGTTAAGAGTTAATTTTGAATATATATATATAAGTACATGGCTGCATACAGTGAAGAGAAGGAAGAACAAATGGTATAACTGAATGTACAAGATATGCATAACATAAGGTGAATTGTCTATAGTACAACACACTTCAATTGTATTCATATATTATGATATTCAATCAACACATTGATAACTGTCAGTTTTGGATAGATTAACATACCCTGCTAGGAGACATAAATGATAATCTTCCTTTGGAGAATAAGTCCAAAAATGATGGTGTATTTGACAGGGTCCCCGGAGAAGTCACAGGAATTCCTTTTCTTGGAGACTCTGAATGCATTTTCCTCAGTGGTGCATGGGGAAGGCTGTTGGCTTCTATAATGAAAAAAATGGGTGTTTTAAATGTTCAAATCCACCTTCATGTTAAGAACTACATACTGAATAAGGGGCGGATCCAGAAATATTTTCTGACAGTCTTTCAAATTATCTTCATTAATCTATCCTCTATTTTTGATCATCTTCCAACAGAAAAAAAAGATACCTGTCAATGTAATCTTGAAATTCTGTCCGTCTTCCGGAAGACCCAGAAGACGGCCTAAATCTGCCCCTGACTGATCTGATCTTTTAAAAAAATCATGTTTCACCCTTCCACTGAATGTAAAAAATGGTGATTATTATATGTGCTTCAAATCAGACATCCCAGATTAATTGTATCCCAAATAATATCGGCTAAAACATTTCAGTATTAACTGAATAATCAAAATTTCATGCAGCATGCTCTCACTCCTAGCATGCCACCTACTTTCTGAGACTACTGGAGAGGAGGGCACTGACTGGAACAGCCCCTCCAGTGCATCCTTGTATCTATATGGTATCTCACAGAGAGGGGCAGTCAGCAGACGGTACTCCATCACTATGTCACACAGGGCACAGCGAATAGCATGGGTTAGCTTCTCCTTGAGGAAATTCATGTCTACATCTCCCCTCTCCCAGATACTCAGCTGAATCAAGGACAGGGGACCTAGTGAGAAAATGATATCAAAACTAAGTTGTGTAAAATTGTAATAATATATTGTAAGGAGCACTTTCAAATCTAAACTAAATTATCTTCTATACATTTCCAACATTTCTTTATTTCGTAAAAGAAAACCCAAATAGCCGTTGGTCCTGTGGCAAAAAGCACTACATTAATTTAACTTCCATGTGTGACTTGTATTGAAGTTACCTCAAACTGCAAAACATGAACTGCAGAGTGAAAATTACTTTAGTTCATGGTACTGCCCTTTGAAATGTCAGGATGTCAAGCCAGAATCACTACCCATTCATTCTTACCTGGCTTCTTCTTGTTACTGGTTTCGTGTCTGACAGCAGTAGAGATGGTATCAAAGTCAGCAGGATCCAAACCTTCTTGGTAAGCATTTGGAGAGGGCTTTGAACCTCCTAATGGCTGAACTGCACTTCCACTTCCTTCCACCAGTCTCAAATGGACACATGCAATGCCTGAAAAGATTAAATATTCAAAAGCTATATATAATCCTAAAATTAAATGTTCACACAAAGCCTGTTCAGTGTGATTAACTGTAAAAGCTGAAACCAAACTATCACTCCTGGTGATAATAAGTTCCATTTTTCAACAAAATACCATTCACACCCATAAATCAAACAATCATTTAATCTTGGTTCACAATAGTCCATTTCATCCTTACCTTTTCTACCTGTGGCATGAGGTCGATTATACAGAAATACATCTCCAGATGATGGAATTTCCTCAGAGTAATCCTTAAAAAATGGTACACTTCATTTACTCATCAAAAACAGTCAAAATCAAAATCTAGGATAAATTTGTAATTAAACAATTTATGAAATTTATAAATTATCATTAATATATAATAAAATATCATAACCAAAACACAATGTGTAATTTAAAGTAGTGAATGGTATACTGTATAGTAAGAAATCATCAGAAAGTGTAGTGACTGTAGATTCATGGCTTACCAGGAAGTGATGCTCCTCTTTATTATCAATGTAATTTGGCACAAACAGAAACTGCCTCATGTTCTGGCGAAGATAGTGCATGAAAGCAAAGAGGTAATGCATAGCAGCAGCTGGGGGAACCAGACGTAGCACCTCTTTAGGAGCTGTAAAGGGCCGCTGTATAAACTAGAAGAAACAATGTGTTATTTAAAAATTAATTTACTTTGCATTTCAAAACTGAACATTGGTTTATAGGCATTTTCTGCATTCATATTCTAGAAAACTGTTCATTAGTGTTCTTGGAAAGACTTCATTAAAATATGTATACTTCAGGTCATT